CTGGGTCATCAATCTTTGCCATGCCTCTTCCTGCCGGGACAGAAAGTCCCTAGGCCCCAGTCATGAAGAAGGCGCAGCCACCTGATGATCTTTGTGACATTGGCTCTGTCTCCCACCTGGACACTGAACCAGACAGTTGCCAGGGTGGGAGTGGATTCTCCCAAGGTATGCTGAAACTGCGTTCAGGTAGGCCAACTCCTGTTCTCCAGCATGCCTATGCGAGAATCCACACATATGGGACATGCCAAAGCTGGCAGTTCCTATGGGTGGGAAGAAGTCTGGTCCTGTGAACCCCGTCTGTACTTTTTGTAGCACTCTTCTGACGAAGGCCGCCTCTGCTGAGGCGTATGTGTCCAGTTTGTAGTGCCTTACAAAAGGAGACGGGGAGGACCATGTCACCGTCCTGCAGATGTCCTCAAGTGAGGCTTGCGTCGCCAAGACAGCTGTGGTAGCTGCACTTCTTGTTGAATGGGCGGTTACTCATTTGGGTACAGGAAGAACCTGAGTCTTGGCTATACAAGTCCTAATCCAACAGCCTATGGTGGATGATGAGACTTTGGTACCCATGGAAGACAGTTGAAATGAGACAAATAGGGCTGCTGCTTTGACTGCCCATGCATTGGCCTGGTGCAGCCTATGGAAATTTTGTTCCACCTTCTTGTCCTCTGTCTTAAGGGCCTCTGCTATGTCTCCGGAGACCGCAGAGGGGAAAACCAAGGACGTCAATGGCTCATCCAGAGGAGGCAATTGTAGTGACTTTGTAAGAAGGGGAGCCATATTGAAAACATTTTTATCGTTAACCCTCGGTGTGGGAAATGAACCTGGCTGCATCCTTTGTCTCTGGACTACATCCAGAAATAATTTGGGGCAAAGAATTTCCTGCTGTAGGACTGTGGGTTCAGAAAAACCCCTATTAGGGCCCTGATTGTCAGGTGAAACAGCTGGACCACTAGGCTGAGGATCAATTTGGGCCGTGGTCCTAGCCTTGTGGAGGAGGAATTTGAAGAGGGCTAAATAGGCCAGTGATGCCGTACTCTTGTTGGATTGGGCCAGTGAAGCAGCCCTCTGGTGCCTAAGGGATTCCATAGGGGATTGGTATTGCAGAGATTGCAAAGGAGGATCAGATCCTAGGGAAGAGGTATGGCTCCTCCCCTTCAGGGTGGAGGCCACTCCCTGAGAAATGGCCTGAGAGATGAGGACCTTGATCTCATCTGGTAATTCTGGTCCCAATCTATCTGCTGAGTGAACCCCCGGTGTGAATTAACAATCAAGCTCTTTCCTGTTTGCCTGGGCTGTTAGGCCTTAATTGGTAGTTCAGGGGAATCCGTGTGATAACGGAAGTAAGAGCAGGGTGTAAATTTCCAATTGCTGCCTGCCTTCAGTTCTTTTAAAACGTTTGCAAACCTTTGGAGAATCTATACCTTGAAGAATGCTGCTTTTCCTACTTATCACTGGAGCCAACCTTTTCCACGTCTCTATTGGGCCAAGACTGAGTCGTGACTGGGGCCTGGGGAATTCCTGGCCCGACAGGAAGAGGCGTGGCAAAGATTGATGACTCAGTCTCTGGGCAGAAAGGCAGATTCAACCCATATGTGTGGATTCTCCCATAGGTATGCTGGAGAAAAATAACTTTTTCTACACATTAAGCAGGGCAAAAAAGATAAAAACATTTTTATAGGCACAATGCTGACAGAAAAATCTTTCATGATGAATAGCTGAATACGTTTCATAGAATATGGAAAGCCAGCATATTATTCCAAATGCATGTTTCTCTGTTTATGGAAATTATATTTTACAATCAAAATAAAATTTAAAACAAATTGATACAAAGCACTCAGGCTCAATTATCTCTTTTTCCTGGTCAGCCTTTTACTTTAACTGTATAATTTGGGCAATTCCTGGCTTTGTATAGCAAAATTTGTCTGTACACATAAAGTTCTGGTATATATTTAAGTACTTGTTGATTGTAGCCTATTGACACTTCAGATCTGCCATATCAAAAGACAGGAGTACACATAGTCTGACTGTTGGGTCACAAGCTAAATGGACAAAAACACTTGCTTACACTGACTCATATGTGAACCAAGCAATTTGTATTTTACACTAGGAATACTGAAAAAAATTACTAATACTCAGGATTGCTTTTTCTTCACAAAAGTGCTAACCGTAGCTAATTCCTTTAGTTTCCTTTAATAATCATGGGAGTCCTATCTCCCTATGGCCAAGTACATGCAATTAAAAGCTACAAGAAAATGCACTGGGGGAGGAGAAGAGAAAATAACAGCACAAATTAGCTAAAAGGCAAAAAGAGGAAAGCAGAGGAGAAAGCTCATTATATTTTCTCAAAAACCAGACAAAAGACACAAAAAGACAAATATTAGAAAGCATTGGTAGATAACTGAATTATAAATTCTAATGGTTCAGCATTATATATGCCATGAAGTCTATTTATTTATTAGTTTTTTAAATCCTTTATTATTTAGAAATAACTCAAAGCAGTGAACATATATAATATGCCTTTCTCCTATTTATCCCACAACAAGGAAGTGAGTTGGACCAAGAGAGAATGACTAGTCCAAAGTCAATCTCCCTGCTTTCATAACTAAGGTGGGAATAGAAGTCAGTCGCCTAGTTTCTAGGCCAGCACGTTAACCACTATTACCAGGTATACAAAGCAGCATCGATTTTGACAGCATAATTTTGTATCTACAAAATTAAAAATATAGCAGAAACCAATCATTTTGCATTTGAGGCTAAAAAAAACCCTAAGTTTACTCATAGCAATGACATACTGGGTGACTCCGATATAGTTTAGGTTGGTTTTGGATTACATATTTTATTTAACATATGAATAAAATACTATTTCTGAATTGAGTAGAAATATTTTTCTTTCTATCTGCAGTTTAACATTATTTCTTTAGCTGCAACAAATACTGATAAAAATAGAAATAGGTTGTTTCTATATGTACTAGGACTATCTTAAAATACAGGTTTTATTCCAGAAAGGTGCTCTGGAGCGTGAACGCAGCACATGTCCACAACTCTTTACAGCAATGTGGATAGTCTCATATGCAAGCTTTTGTGCTGTCATGTGATCATAGCAGAGAATGCAGATACTTTTATTTAAAGTGATGATACAGATATAATATTTATACCACCAAGTGATATAAAACACCTTTGTGGAACCAAAATCATAGCATCACAAAATTGTGTATGTTTATTACATATATGTTCAAAATCTGCTAAAACCATCAAATCAAGTCAAATCAATCTTTATTATAATTATAGTTCATCAATTAAAAAAATCAACTAACTTGATCATCTGCTCATAACAGTACCTGCTTAAATAATCTTAATTGGTTTAAATCCTAATTCTATCACAAATATATTACTTTTGGGACTTATTTCTGATGATACACAACATACACACAAACCTAACATTTTGTGTGACACACCACAAGTAACTATTAATGCCACCAAAACCATAGTGTTGTATTGTGTTCAAGCAAGTAATCTCAGTATGACATACACATTTAGGATTCCACAACAGATATAATTTCTTATATTAAAGACTACTGACATGATGTACAATATGGTTACAATCAATTTGAATGTTATCTAAAATGAATGTGTATTAAGGCCAATTTTTAGTTTCTAAACTGTACTTTTTCTGTGATATTTTTTAACATACCATAAATTTCCTTTTTAAAAAGTATTAAATGGGGAATACTTTTACAAACTATGAGAGATGGAAAACAATCAAGTGACTAATATAGTACATCAACAGCAAGAACAAGGAGAAAGAAGTGTTAGCCAAGAAATCTGAACCACAATAATCACACTCAGCAAAGTACAGATGATTTAATGCTGACCAGAGAAATTTGAGAAACTGCCAGGTTTCATTCAAAGCTTGTAATTAATTTTGATTACAAAGTAAAACTTTAAATGAAATACTTAAATGACAAAGTGCATGATGTCAAACTATCACTCAATCATCTCCTTTCCCAGCACATTTTTTCCTCTTTTTGCTAATTTTTGACAGGATGCCTGTTTATTTCACTGGTGTGTTTACAAGTTTATGCCTTCAGAGTTTCCTCTGAACCTAATGAGCACTTCTATCTATAAATCAATCTTCCCCAACCTGGGACTTTATAGATGTGTCAGGATCACAATTTCCGACAATACATATGGAAGATATAAAATACCTTCTGGTGTGAAATTATTTCTGTGTACATACTAGAAAAAAAGGAAGATCACAGATCCAGAACTGATCTTTTGAATATTATTTTAAATGTATCCAGCAGATATTCTCTGGTAATGTTATTTATTTTAATTGGCAAACTAGAAGAGGTAAAATGACACAAGGCCTGATCTATGCAACTTTACTTGGGAATAGTTGGATTAACTCCTACAAACACATAACTTTAACACTGGTCATAAAACAACATCAAGCATTCAGAAACTTGACTGGAAACAAAATATACAGCTGCAGTAACTAAAATAAACAGTTCACTTCTTATCATCAAGAAAAGACCATCTCATGCCAGGACTTATACTTTTGAGTAAGTAAAGCAAAATGCCTGAGTGTACTTTAATATAGCCAGTTGGTCATGAGACTTCTTGCAGAATATTTGTTTTATAGTCTTAAATTAAAATAAAACGCCATCAGCTTGATTTCGCCTGGGATCTCCATCCTTCTTACCTACTGCAGAATGGAATGCTTGCTGTGTGGAAAACGGTACACGGGGGAGGGGGGGGGGAATTCCTTGCAGCAGAGTGCTAAACGGAGAAGAGGGCAAATCTCCGTGCAGTTGCAACCCCCTTCTAACGCTTAACCCTTGCAACTCTTATTTCAGATCACTTCTGGAGTAGCCCTACATGTCGGGATAACGTACATACACATCCATTAATTTTTAACGCCAAAGCGGATGCCAAAAAGGAGATAACTGTTCTGAAAACAAAATCCAAGCAGCGTGAAAAAGGACATAAAAGCTTCTTACCTCGCTTAGTTCTGCAGACTCATTTCCATATTTCATGGCAACTCCAGAATTCATGATTAGACTTTCACCGGGGCTTGACCGCTGTCTATAGATGTTAAGGTTTTAAAAAGCTCCAGAAAATTCAATACCCCCTTCGCATCTGAGCTTTTTCCGTCTTGCACTTTTTGCACTAGACAGCCATTTTCGCTGAACATTTAGACCCCTAGAAATTGATAATGCAGTCTGTCTAAACAGAGACAAAAAGAAATCTGCCTGCCGTTTCACAAACAATTCGTTGCTGCAAGACACTCATTAAAAATATTGCAGAGCTCTCCGCCAGACGGAGCGCAAGCAGGATGTAAAAAATCTTCTGGCTGCTAAAATAGTCGCGGTTCAGTTTCGTGCCTTCATTCTTTTCCTGCTTCAGCTAGCTTGGAAAGAAAGGCAGTTCAATGCACTTGGAAATTGTTTATGGATCTTCAAACCCACTCGTAGATCCTACCCAGAGATGGAAGACAGAACAGGGCGCAGACGTACCGTGCTGCTCCCGCTAAAGTTTCCCCTTCAAGGGAGCCTGGAGTTGTAAGTGGTTTATGATCAAATACAGCTGTCTAGCTGCTGGCTACGGGGTGCCTGGAAGAGGCGGTACCAAATGGAGGAGGGGTGGGAGGGAAGGAAGCAGAACACATGCTCCGGAGAGCTCACTTTAGAACTGCACGCATCCTTCCAGAGTTTTGTGTGCTCTGTGCACCCAAAAATCACTGTGTTCCAAAGTTCAAAGCAACTAAAAAGAAAAGAAAAAAATCCCTCAAGTAGGTAACTTTGATGACTGACCTTCTCTTTGTTACATCGAAGAAAGCTAATGAAAACTTTACAGGCATTTGGGGCGTGTTTAAATTGATACTTCATTTTTATGCAGGATAATATGACATAGAAGTTGCTAAGCCAAAAAACTGAAAGCTTCAAATTGGAATAATGGAAAATATGGAAGAATGATTATTAATTCAAGAGTTGAATTCCTATGAAAAAAAATTGCCTAGTTTTCAAAACTTAAAGATGATCTTATATATTTCTGGTTCTTTTACTTTACTTTTAAAGGCTTGACTTAAGTTTGTTCTTAGGAAAAAGGTGGCTTTCTTTGCCTTGACCAAACTTTTTCACAACAGTAACTTCGCATACCACTTTTATTTTTTCAGTGCAATTGAAAATTAAAAACATATTTCTAAAATGCTTTAAGTTTTAAAATGTATCAGTGAAGTGTTAGAATTCATGAACTGTCATTGTACAAATCAGAATTTTTATAGAAATCTCCCTATTTTCTTAACAGAAATTCAGAAAATCTTTTTTGAAGAGGGAAACTACCAAAAGGATAAAAAAGCAAATTTGAGCAATCAAAAGGAAAAAAAACAAACCAATTACTAGATCTTTTAGTTTTAATAAATAGAGCTGTTTAACTTTAGGCAGTTGTCAAGGATCAACAGCTACAAAATATATCAGCATCATACGGTATATACTTAGTTTTAAAAGGAGATAATGACCCACACCCATCTCCTGCTTAATATCACAGTTCAAAAAGTGTAAACCTGGGTGTGTCCCTAATTCTTGCTGTGATTTAATAAATAAGAGTGCAAACAACGCTGAAAAGTGCTGCACTGTGTTTTCTTGAACAAATAAAGTACACAATTTAATTTCCTGCATACTGTCACAGATTTCTTTTTTTAAAAACCCAGCAAAAACAAATTAATATGAAAATAATAACTTTATCTTATCTGCTAAAGTGTTTCTAACTTTGCTACTGGAAGGGCTACTGTTGATCAAAAATTGCTCTTAGGTATCAATTCCCTTAAAATACTTAGTATCTTTTGATACTAAGAAGAAAACCCCCAAAATTATATGGCAGTCTTTAAGATTTATTTAATTAGTTTTCAGTCTGATATCACATGTAATTATTTCTTAGTTATATAACATTGAGAATGAATATTGAACTGTCACCCTAATGAAACCCTGCTGATATAAAACTCCTATGCACATCTTTAATGTTTATTTCTCCATCTCTTAACAGAATAATTTATTCCATTTTATAAACAGCTCTAGCCCTACCTTTTTGAATAGTTATTACCTATACCTCCTTGTGAAAAATAAACATTAACTTTCAAACACCTAAGGCACCTCTTGCTATTGGTATTATCCAGGGATAGGATTCAAATTTCTTAACAATAGGTTCTCTGGACGTGGCCTAATTTGCGGGTGTGGTTTGGTAGTCATGTGACTGGGCGTGGCTTGTTGACTTGGTGGTCATGTGAATGGCTGGGCATGGCTTGAATGTAAATATTATAAATATTTATGTAAATATTGAATTGTTTATTTAAAAGAGAGCAACTTTTACCCAAAATCAGGTAAAGCAGGCAGGCAGATTGAGTTGCTCACAGAATCACAGATTCATTCAGAGATCTATCTTTCTGCAATCGGCTATCTGAGTCTGTCACATAAAATTTGTTTGTGAGCAAGCTCATAATATTTGCTAGCAAGCAAACTCACAAAATTAACTCACAACACACCATGTATGTAAATATTGAGTTTTAAAAGAATAGCAACTTTTACCCAAAATCAGACAGAGCAGGCAGGCAGATTGAGTTGCTCACAGAATCACAGATTCACTTAGAGATCTGTGTTTCTGCCATCTGCTATCTGAGTCTACACTGAATAATAGAAGCTTCAGGCTCAGCTCTGCTTTTAGGTTAGGGAGAAAGCAAGAAATCCAACTATTTCCTGCTTTCTAGCTAACCTGAATCTCCCGGCATAGCAGAACAGCTGATGGTCGGGGGGAAAAAAAGGAAAAATAGCAACTTAGCAGGCAAGTTTGATGCCGCACATGCCAGGTAAGGAGTGGGCGGGGCGGAGCCAGCCAGTATCACAATTTGCTGGTTCTCTGGCAGGTAGAACCCCACCCCTAGTGAGAGTGTGTTTTGCGTATGCGTGTAGACCATTTTCTAAAAACCTCAGCTGTGCTGCTCGGACAGCTGACAAGCGCTGCGCGATGGTACGCAGCATTTGAAAGTCTTCTTTCCTACTTTTTCAACTTCAGCTGTGCCGTGCAAAGCAGCTGAGGTTGAAAAAGCAGGAAATAAAGGACAGCCAAGAGCCTGGGCAGGCGGATGGACCAAACAGATCAGCAGACACCGAACCAGTTCGGTATCTGTTGCTCTTCAGAGCTACCAATTCTATAGAACTGGGGCGAACTGGTAGCATCCCACCCCTGGGATTTTCTTTTGCCACAGTCATTCTACTTCTATTTGCAGGTCTTTGAAATCTGTGATTTTCTCCAGTTCTCTCTCTCCAGTTCTTTCATTGGGAATATAGTTGTTGAGGAAGTCAAAATTTACCCAGTGCGCATATACAAGATGCCTACTTTGTTTGACTATACTGCAAATGTCTTCTCAACTTCCTCCACCATTTATAATTTCCCCTATTTTGGTCAGATTATCAAAGATACAGAGCCTATGTTGTTATCTATTTAAGATAAATAGTAAGGAAACACAATTAAAAGAAAACATAATTTTTATTCCCTTTTGTAGAAATAAATGCATATTTCCTATTCCTTAATTTTCTATGGTATGTATGTTATTAATCGCCTCTTGCCTGGCTACTTTTTCAGCTTTATAGCATATATGTGTGTGTGTGTGTGTGTGTGTGAAGTATAGATATCGATAGTGCGATATTCATATGTATACATATACACATATATACACATACACACACACACACACACACACACACACACACACATATATATATATATATCTCAGACCCATAGTCAGCTCCAGAGGAGCACCACTACAAAACCTAGCTAAACACTTAGCAAAGCAGCTACAGCCCCATGCTGAAGCAGCAGCTTCACATGTACAAAACTCATACCACTTCTTGGAAATGATCAAAGATCTAACGTGGAACAAGAAGATCTGCTTGTAAGTTTCGACATGGTTTCACTATTCACTCAAGTCCCAATAAAAGAAATTCTTGAAATCATCAAAAATAAATACCAGCTAAACACCTCATGGAACTAGCAGAACACTGCTTAACCAACACATATTTCATATACAAAGGACAAAGATACAAGCAAATTGAAGGAGCCCCTATGGGATCACCACTCCAAACCATCATTGCAAACCTGTTCATGGAAGAATTCAAATCCAGAGCCCTAGCCAATGCCACCCACAAACCCAAACTATGGTTAAGATACATCGATGACACATTTGTGATTTGGGCCCATGGAAAAGAAAACCTAAACAATTTCCTAACACACCTAAACAGCACAAACCCCAAAATCAAGTTCACCATGGAAACGGAAACAAACAAACAACTACCATTCCTAGATGTACTAATCTACAAAAAAACAGATGGCACACTAAGACATACCATATACCAGAAGAAAACACACACCAACCGCTACCTCAACACCCAATCCCACCACCACCCAGCACAGATAAACTCCGTGGCCAAAACACTAATCGCCAGAACCAAACGCCTGGCAGACAAGATACACATATAGACTGAACTATGCACCCTGACTAAAGTACTGACAGCTAACGGCTTCCACAAAAGCAAAATCACCAGCTTGATCCACAAAAACACACTGAGATATAATGGAGACCTAGAAGATGAACAGACCTATGGAACAGCTGTCCTGCCCTACATAAGAGGTACTACAGACAAAATCAGTAAGATACTACACAGGCATCACATCAAGACTGCCTTCAAAACAGACAGAAAAATAGCAGCCAACCTAAGAAACCCCAAAGATAAAATTGACCTGGAAAACCAAGGCATATATGAAGTCCCTGTGCATCATGCCCTGCCACATACATTGGACAGACCAATAGAAGAATAAGTACTCGCCTGGATGAACACAAAAATGCAGTAAAAAGGGTGGAACACACTTCCTCACTAGTCCAACACATGAAAGCAACAGGTCATAGCATCGACTTCAATGGCACCAAAACCCTAGCCACTATAGAAAACCCCAGCTACAGAATTATCAGAGAAGCCATAGAGATTGAAAAAAGACCTGAAAGCATGAATAGAAGAGATGACTCCACCAGACTGTCAATTATTTGGAAGCCTGCACTCACAAACAAAAAAATCTCCACACCACAAGCCAGGCAAACACCTGGGCACAAACAGATCCCCCCTGATACCTCCAGCTTAAACACACCCCAACCAGGCACCCAGATGAAACCTAGCTTCCTACTAAATGATAGCCGTCCATTTACTCGGAGCCAAGCCGCACTAAAAGCCTCCAGGAACACAATGTTGCCAGCCAATCAAGACAAAAAAAGCCACAAAACAGACAGAAGATATTAGAAACATCAATCAAGCAGAACACAGCAAGCTTCAAGACCAATAAACACAGACCAAGACTCCCAACCAATCAGGATGAAGAAAAAACCATTCTGGCACAGCAGTAGGCTAGCCGCAAATTTAAAACTGAAATGGCTGTGAAAGTCTGACTCACAGATTAACACAATACAGAAGCCTGATGATGGCAGATGAGATTCTGCCGAAACGTTGCTACAACTTTAAAAGCACAACTATAATGACGTGGGAAAATACCCGAACAAAGCTGAATACCATACATATGTGTGTGTGTGTGTGTATTTCGACAAAATCTCATTCATCATCTTCAGGCTTGTGTCTTCGGCTTTGTGCTTCTCAGAGTAATGTGAGCTTGCAGCTGCTCCTTCCTTGTAACTGCTAGTGGGGGTGTGACTTGATTGGGTGGGGGCTTGGCTGTGTTCTGATTGGCTGGGGATGTGTTCTCATTGGTTGGGGGTTTGGCTGTGTTCTGATTGGTTGGGGGATTGGCTGTGTTATGATTGGCTGGGTTTGTGTTCTGTTCAGGTGGGGGCTTGGTTGTGCTCAGGTTAGTCTTAGTTGCCGGGGGACTTGAGCTGGTGAGCTGTGATCTTGTTGTTTGGCTTCGCGTTCGTGCTCGCGCCACATCTTCATGGTGGGCATCCGTTCGCTTCATGTATGGGTCGGAGGGGTTTGAAGCGGGTAGTGATGCAGCTGCGGTACAGCTTCTGGTCCGTGGTCGTGTCTCATCATCTGTGTGGGTGTGAGTCTGCTTTCTATGTGGAGGTGTGGTGGTAGCATCTTGTGTGGCCCTCGTGGGTGTGGGTCTGCCAGCTTATAGATCTATATTCCTGACTGGCAGCAGAATGTTAAAACTAAACAATACACTTTCTACTCAAATAGACATTTATCATAGATCTATATTCCTGACTGGCAGCAGAATGTTCAGTATCTAATGGAAGTCACCTTTTTCATTGTCCTGCACAGTATATAAAAATGGCAAGATTAACCACTGTAAGATCCACTAAGATTTATAACTGCTTTCTCACTAAGATACATATCATCTTTTGCTGGTAATTGATTGATTACCATAGTAGGCCTTGTTATAAAGTAATGGTCAGCTTTCATTTAAAAATAATTTTGTGATCTCTTATTATTAAGTGCTTACACTCAGTTGCATTTGACAATTCAACTATATATAATGTTTAATACTCATATTTACCTTAGAAAATCCAATTTCTCTACAAAAGCTACATTTTATTAAGAATTATTCCTACTATCTATTTTTCTAATTTTCAAAACTATATATCATCTTTTCATTTTTTTCAGTTTCACACAAAAAGTCAATAAAGGGTTTCCAGTCAGCAATTTATATGGTTGTAGTCCTTTCTCTGATCAATTTGACCATCCATCATCTTCACCATCCACTCCTCCACTGAGGATAAAGTTTAATATTTTCACCTTTCTGAAAAAAATCACAACATTCAACAACCTTATTGAAGTTGTCATAATGAAAAACTTCCATGGTTATATTTCCCATCTACTTAACCATTGGGCCCAAGAAAAGATTCTCAGGTTTAAATTGTATATTGTATGTAATATAGTCCAAAACTTTATTTGAACAACCTTTATACATTCTAGACAGATTTCTGGTTATATGTACTGGAAATGACCATGTTACAATACATTATTATTTAGAAGTTCTCTTTAAGACTATAACATAATGTGAAATGTAGTAACACAGAATGGTGGGCTGACGATCGCCAGGCTCGCATTTGAGACCCAGCTGCTGCAGTGGGAGAGGATGAACTCCTATCACATGTTCCAGCTCCTACTGACATAGCCGTCTGAAAGCAGGCAACCATGAGGAGATAAATAGGTACCACTTCAGTAGGCAACTTAATGGGAACATGAAAGAACCCCCAACTGGCTGTACCCAGGGCAACAGTGATGTCATCGATCATCATTTCAACCCGGAAGTGCTTCAGGGCTCCTGACATGACTGTAGTAGTACTAGTAATGTGAATTTCAATCTTTTTCAATCACATGTTCTTTCATTGTTCCATTTGTACATTTTATTAAGATTTTTTTATAACATGCTAAAGTAGAGTAGCACTGTTTTATTTAATTAACGCGTCTAAATGACTTGATTATGAAACAAATCAAATTTGCTCAGTACAGATCACTTAAATACTGGAATAAATAAACATTACCATCTCGATATTGTTTGGTAAATGCTTTGTTTTTCCAGTACTTTTCAGAGTGAAGAAAATTGACTTAATGACTTTTTCAAAAGTAAAATTCAGATTAAAAATGAATTCAAGTAAAACCAAACTAGGGAATTAAAAAATCAACAGAATAAATGGGCTATGTAAATAGTACAAAAGCTTGGTCTTATGACTAATGTTGCTATTCAGACAACATGGTAATGTACTAAAGTTTTTATCTGTCAGATAATGTCACTCCTAGATAGATAAATACTATTAATTTTAATATAAAAATACACACACAGATACACACAAAGGACTGGATATTGGTCAGAAGTTGATTTCCAAAAATTTCACCACTTTGAAAGTTCTTTTCTTCACATCCAGGAAATTATCCACATGTTTTATTAGACTATCAAAAAACCACAGACAGAAGAAAGAAACTCACAGCACATGCTCACATAAGAAATGTATTGGAGTAAATCCAATATTGGTGATATATTTGAATTCAGCATTTTAAAACATGGGAATTCTTTTTTAGTTTAGATTAATTTCCTGAAAAACTTTCTGGAGAGTAAAGGCAAAAATTTGGAACTTGACTAATATAATTTATGAATATCAGTTTAATCATAAATGATATAACCTAATTGTCACATTTAAAATCTGGAACCATTCAGCAACAATTAAAAAAATAAATAAATAAAAGTAGTACAGAAAAAGAGTTTTCAAACATATGTTAGCTTCAGCTGTTTAAACCAGAATGGAAATGTGATTTTTTAAAAAGTGCAATTTTGAAGCATACCTTTTTTAAATAGGTAGTTTCCTTCTCTGTTTTCTTTGTTTAAATAATACCAGACCCAATCACCTGAGATAGAAAGATTTACAGTTCCCAAGTAAGCCAAAGATATGTACTTGGGAGCTAGAAGCACAGTGAAATCATTTTATACTGATGATTGGAATTATATAACAGTAACCCCCTAGATTTATTTACAAAAAACTTGGAAAAAAACTAGTTACTCAAGAAAACAAAAGAAATGTAATTAAAAATATTAACCACTGCGCTATTTCAAGATACACAAATATTTGCTTGTATGATTAGCACTGTTCAGTTGAAGGGGCAGTGCTTTTACTGCAAACTGGCCAATTAACTGATGATGTTAGCTTGCAGCAAACTGAAGTTATCTAGCCAAATGTACACAAACATTCAAAGCACTATAACAGAAAAAATAAACTTTGGAAGTGGAGCATAAAAATATGCATGAAAGTTGCTCGGAGGGTCAGTGGAGAACCAAGAGAGGGCCACATCATTTATTTCTACTCCCCAAAAACAGTTGCTATCCAGTTTTGATGATAAGAGATACATCCATATCTGATTTAGAAGATTATTTTCAATTTCCATTAGTCTAGAGCTATTTGTTAGTGGCTTTAAAAAGCATTGGTGTTTTCTAATGAACATCTATAAGGGAACATATACCATGGAAATACAAGAACATCCCTTGTCTATGATCATCAAATTCACTGGAGCTACAGTATATTTGCTAGAATTCCCAGTCAGCACATGATTGATATTCCCAACATATCTAGAAAGCTGCAGATTGAAGAAGGCTGCAGTAAGCTATATAGTTGCCTTGTAAATTATGATAATTGATAAATTTTGTTCTTTTTTTGCTTCCAGGTCAGTCTACATCTACATCTATGTAGATGTTTGCATCTACATAAACAAGTCCTTACAGTTTTCATGGAAACATTTTCCAAAAACGGTAGGTCACTAGGGGGCTGAGAAAGAGTGACTGACCAAAGTCATACAGTTAGCTTCCATATTTAAGGCCAGACTACTATTTAGGTTTCCCTGCTTTAACCACTCCTTCTTTAAATGACATTCTTGGGGGAGGGGGGAAAGAAATGTAAGTTTAAAAAGTTAACAAACTTTGAAAAAAAATGGCTGTTGATGGGATGTAGCATTTGTATTTGATAGAAATAAATCTTAAATATGTTTACAATGTAATTAAAACTCTATTTAAATATAAATATATAATTTCTAAATTTAAAAATCTGAATGGTGTTAATATTTTACGTTTAATGTAAAAACCCCTGGCTTTGCTTGCAGTGAATATAACATTAGCAATGGCTTTTTATACAGCAAGAAAGCAGTAAAGCAAGAGATTTAAATGATGCAGTCTATGTACAGTATGCCCTCTGCCAGTCACTTAGAAAAATACACTTAATGGAGACAATTAGCATTTGAACAGAAAAAAATACTGAAAAACGTGAAATGAATGAGATTCAACTGAAGCAATTCAAAGGAGTACAACGACGACTCATTTTGTAGTACAGTCTTGTGGTATAATTCTCACAAAAGGCAAGATTTGTTGTTATTATTATTAAAATGCTATTCTTCCTCATTATTAAGCAAAGGAGCCTTTCATACATTTCTTCTATTTATTTTCATAATATTTGAAAGAGTTGAAAGGCCACTATGCAATTATATAATACAGTGTGACTGATGTACAATGTACATCAATTGTCAAATTTGATATTCATGCTTTTATAAGAAATGATTTGAGATGCATTCTCATAGGAACCGTACAGTAATTTGTAGACATGAAAAGGGGTCCTAACTAGAACATTCCTAAAAATCTCTAGGCACTCATTTGTTTATATTAAATCGATCACCTTATAATAATCACACATGCAGCAGAGTTTTCTGAAAAAAAGAAAACATGTAGCCATCTTGACACCTGTTAAAACGAATTTTCTATTGTTTATATAGGCTTCCTTTCTGCAGACAATTATGCTGTATATCACCATAACAAGAGACAAACCAAGAGCTCCACCAATTTCAGAACACATAGCCACTGTTCCAGTCGAAATACCAGATGCAGAATGTGACCACTGCCCCATATCAGGCTTAGGATATATAGACCTGATATAGGCCCATGGCTGTCATGATGACCACGAACTCAAGCCACTCCAACTCATAAGAAAGGGTGGTTGAAGAACCATAAATCTGGGGAACTCCACTGACAGCCCAGAAATGGAGTCAGGGAGGTTACTGTGCAGCTGGAATGTTGGTACTACAGCAACAACCTCAACTAATTCCTATTCATAACAATCCTAATGATCCCAACAAAAACAACTGGGACTGCTGAAACTGCCATTGTAATTTGACAGTCATGCCTTATTACAGGGTTCCCAACTTTAATTATCTTTAATTAACTATCCAGGAAAGCTCTTTCTTAGTTAGAGACCACATGCAGACTCTTAATCCCTTTTACATGCCCCCTAGAACTCTACCAGCACTGGATAAAAACTGGCACCTCAGGTTTTCAGAATTTTGATAGAGAAAATATGCACAAGCTGCAAGTTAAGTCTAGTAATAGATTTAACTAAATTTATCAGGACAAAGTGAAAATAAATACTTTAAACTTCACCTATGCTGTACCATTGTTCTACCTACTGTGGCTCCACAAAATGATAAGCATAGCCCTGACTAGCAAAACCTAGTCATCCTCTCTAGAGAAGTATGTCATGCACATACAGTGATGAGACAACTGCCTCTTTTCCCTAAAAGAGAACTAGAATGAAGGATAGGATGCAAGAAATGCCTTGTCCATGAAAGAGTAAGTAAGTGACTAAGTAAGTGACTTAATGCACAAGAGAGGTCTGAATAACTAAAATGGATGAATGCAACAATCTAATGTATTTTTTCCAGACTTAGTAGCTTTAATGAACATTGTCCTTTATATCAAATTATATGGTCACCTGTGATTAGATTCTTATCTAATCTTTAGATAAGATTCTTATCTATTTCCATTGATAGGAAAAATAATAACACTTACTCAGTGTTACTCAGTGAATTCTGGGAGTTGACATTCGCATATCTTAAAACTTCTGAGATCAAGAATTCTGCCTTACTTGAGGTTATGGTATTAACATCTCTTTGACCTCTCTTCTATAAACTGGTTGTAACCTAACCACTCAGTTGGTTTTAAGTGATGTTTTGTTGTTAAAAACATCTTTAGAACATCTCTCTATTCATATATTTCCATTTGTCATAATTAATATTATTTCCCTGACAAAAAAGACACATTCATTCTATCTTTTTTACTGTTGTCATTAACTAAACTCTACTCCTCAGTGTGACTGTGGTACTCCTCAACAAAACATCCATCACATTGTGTCCAAATGTCCATCAAGAGCTAACATCAGCCCAATGTCTGATTTTTTCAACATAGACCACCCTGTCCTTGAATGGCTAGGTGGACTGGACATTAACATTTGAAGTCCATGTATTTGCCATACGCTAAATAAAATATCAAAGCATTGCTAAACAATTGTTCAATCTGCTCAATTCAGGACAAACAAGATTTTTGCCTAAATATAGTTCTCTGTAGAGAGGTTTATTATACTTACACATCAAGAATTTATAAAGAAAGTAAACAAACACTGATATTTTAAGAAAAATAAAATTAAATATTAAATAATGGAATGGATTAATTTCTGTATGACATAGATTTCTGTTGCCTGTTGCCCAGTTTAAATTTAATTTTTTTCCAAGCACCAATGATATAGTTATAAAAATAAAATTTACGATTAAATAAAATTGAAATTATATACGCTTGAGAGTCTTTCTTAAGTAATAGTAATAATGCGTAACAAAACAAATGCTAGATACACATTTACAAAACCAAACAAACCAAAATGGGAATAGTCTCTTTGATAAAAGCATAGGGTTATTACTTTAGAGCTATCACATGGAAGGAAATAGATACAGAAAACTGTGCTTGAAGCCATATATGGCATGTTTATAAAGTAATTGCCTGATAATCTCTATGAATTGATGCAAATTACTATCCAAGTTGAGAGTGGGCGGAATATAACAAATTTAAAGAATTGAATCTGAAACAGTAGTACTTACAGTGTTGACAAGTTCTAGATAACTTCCTCCGACTGAATTGCTTAGATTGGAGGTCTGTGTAAGCAATCTTTGAAGGGTAACTTGTTGATTCATAGTATTCCCACCATATTCAAATGGCTTTTGTAAAGTTGAACAACTATGTAAATCAGGGCTTTGAAGATCTCTAGCTCTAGAATCATATTCCCAACTCTCTCTAGCTCCAGAAATGGCACCTGGATAGAAAAAGATATTTATTTTTAAAGAGTAATGCAATAATTTCAAACAAATATTTTTCACTCTCCAATTTCTAAATTCAAGTGGCTAATACTCAGTTATCCTTGATAAATCAGATTATGGTGAGGTTTTTTTAAAACCATACTTTAAAAAGATCTAAAATATGTAATTTGAGTATAAAGCAAACAAGTACACAATTATATAACCAATTCCAGTTACATATTAAATGTACAACATTCCCTAACTTAAAAATTGGTGAAAAATAAATCAATGCATAAATGTTGAGCTGTTGTACACTATTAACATTTCTTAAAAAGGATCAAGGTCATTTTCAACCAACTGGTCAGCATAGCAATGGATACTGAGAATTATAGGTTTTAGAAACATCTGGAGGGACACAGGTTTCTAATTTTCCGTAATAATATCTACAAAACTTTGGTAATCTGTTTTTAGAGACAGCTGAGCAGAAAAACAGTCTAGTTTCCTGATATTTTGAGAAAGATTACTTGTCACTATCATCAAATAATCAAGAGAAATACTATATATTTATTTTATTTTCTGGCTGCTCTAACCTACAGCTCTATCACCAGAAAGCTAATGAGCCCTTTGTAACCCCTCGATTGAGATACCCTACCTATGTATTCATAACATCTCAAGATTATTTATTTACATTTAGGATCCAAAAACCAATTACTGGATATTTTAATATAATATAGATGGAAGACAAGCATGTATAGTGTTGTTGGAAAATGTCATGCTGCATCTTCTCTACTCATAACTATCATAATACCCATTTAATTATATCAGCATCTGAACAATTGAAGAACAGCTGCAGCACATTGAGCTGAGGCAGGAGTTAAAGGCCAAAATCTTTATTGAATTCTATGCATAATGGTTATTTTGCTTCACATAATGTTAATTACTTTCAAGTACAGCTGCACTGGTGCATCAATAAAATGCAATTCACTCAAAGTGTATTCATTGAAAAGTATCTAACTGCTGAAAAAGAAACTAACACAATACAAAAGTAAAACTATGTCCACTATCCTAGATATACAAAGAGGATTCTACGGGAAATTATTAGAAATGCTGGCTTTGTAGTTTCATTGAACCCACAGTTTTCACTGAACTTTTAACTGTGCAATTGTTGAAAGAAATGAAATGTAGGCTTTCCCAATAACTTAACTACTGCATGAAACAGGAAAAACATCTCAGATTCATTCAGAATATGGTAATGGAGTTATGTGAGGTTTTTTTATGTCTATTCTTCTTTTCTTGGGACAGTATCATCTTGAATTTACTTTAGTTTCACTCTTTGATAAATATGATTTCTGCCATGTTGGATAAAAAAATAATTCTCTTAAATTATGAAAAATATTTTGATAAATATTGTGAAGTAAAGAAAAATAAAAAGAATTTTTTACCAATAAACTGTGTAGCTCTTTTATTTCATCTGTTGTAAAAATACTGCAGAAAGTAAACTATTTGGTGCAAATATATTACTTAATGATAAAAGATAAGATAGATTGTTACTTGTTTACAAATAATTTATGAATTATTGTGTCAGTTCTCATTATGGACAGAAGCATATGTATTTACCTTAAATCAAAGTGGTGGTTACCTATTGTTCAGTACTTTCCAGAAAGGTAGAAAGTATGTCCATTATCCTGGAAAGAAAGCCTAGAGTAAACTGGAAGTTAGTAGCATTAGGGAGCATCAAGACAGCTTCTAATAAAATGATTTTTATTTATTAGTCATGTAGCCATTGTAGCCATTATATGAATGGTCAGGCATCTCCTTGCAGCTATTCCGAAATACATTCCCAATACACCTACAAAACCAAAATGTTTTGGGATCTTTTCTGAAAAATGAAAGAAAGGGGGAAGCAAAGCTTTCTTTCTTTCTCCCTCTCCCCTTTCCTTTCCTTTCTTTACACTGATTGGAGAGTATTAGCTACATCAATCATTCAGCTACATCAATTTGGTCTAGTGCCATGATGATGAACCTATGGCACGCATGCAGGAAGTCGCACGCAGAGCCACTTTTGCCAGCACGCGAGAGATTGCCCAGAAGAGCCCCATTGCGTATGTGTGTGCCCCCCGCCAACCAGCTGATTGTTGGGTATCTGCCGTGCATGCGCAGGGGGAGATGCGCATGTGGGAGACATGCACACATGCACAGAAGCACGTGGCATGCGGGGGGTCATGTGCACATGCGCAAGGGACAGAGGAGTCGCGAGCGCATTGCATCATGGGTGCAAGCACGCGAGCATGCGCACGCGAGTGCACTTTTGGCATGCAACGTGGAAAAGGTTAGCCATCACTGGTCTAGTGGTTAAGGTACCAGACTAGAAAACAAAGATTGAGTTCTAATCCTGTCTTATGGAAAAGCCAACTGGATGAACTTGGGCCACTCCCTCTCTCTCAGCCCAATCTACCTCATTGGGTTATTTTTATAGGAAAAATAGGAGGAAGGATGTCTTGAGTTACTTTTAATACAATAAAGGCAGATTAAACACCTAACATATAAATAAATCCATTTTCTCCTCTCTGCCAGATTACACAGCTGGAACTCATTGATGGTGACAAGCACATATCCCCAAATGTGGAGGAAAAAGAAAAGGATGAAAAATCTTTGGATTCCCAATCTTTTGCACTTCTCCAATCTCTTAGGAACTTTTTACCAGACTTTGTAAGACTTCTTCTAGTAAGAACAAAAGAAAAACCAGCAGAAAATATTAAGTTATCATTTATATAATATGACATGTCCCCAGTAAGATCTGATGCATACAAGAGTCCTCCACTTTTATTTATATTCCATCCATCCATTCATCCATCGATAACAGTATGCCATGTAGGATAACACCAAGACCAGCCAACAGAAGCTTTGGAAGCAGAACAAACCAAATATGCATAATACAAACAATAGCTTCATTTACATGCAAAACTTGTTACTATGACAAGTTATCTCTTCTTTGCTTTGCCTTTCTTCATTTTTAATGTGTCCCCGCACCA